TTTTTGACTCGAGGGCCACCAATGGGTTCCTTAAACTGGGACCGAGAGGGCCGGGAACAAAAAGCAATGATTGGAGTGTTTGTGTGGAACTAATATAAATTCAAAGTAAACATCATTACATAAAAACCGTACGGGCCTTTTTTTTTTTTTTTTAGTTTTTATTCATTTCAAACGGGCCGGATCCAGGCCGCGGGGCCGTAGTTTTGCCCCCCGCTGGTTTTAGGGGGCTCTGAGTCATATTTACTATGCTCAAGCAGGGGACTGCCTGGGAAATAGTCCTGTCATAACAAAAGATTCTGCACGTGGCCCAGAGGAGTGCACAGGCTTCATGGACCTTCTGAGAGGAAGCCACCCGGGAGAGGGACCTGCTCACGCACCGCAGGTCTGCGCCCAGTGGCAGAAGGGTCCCAGGTGAGGTACCAGCATTGCTCTTTCTAGCTGCCTTAGCAGCAGGAGCCCCAGCTAGTGTAAGAAGAACCATAAGGGTTTGGTTGGACCCGTTACAATCTCAGGAATGTCTCGTTGCACTCCCCCTGACTTCAGTTACTTACGTGAATCGGGCTGACTCAGTGTATAGAAGGGTCCAAAAAACTGGCCCCAGCTAACTTCGTTTCGTGCTTTTGTTTTTACCCGCAGACCCAGGGAAAAGCCCTGAGACCGAAAAGCTACCTCTGTCAGCGGGAGGCAGGAAAAACTGAAGAAAGAGGCGGCCACTCTCGTCTGGCAGCTAGCGGGGCCTATTATGGGAAACGTACATAGCAGGTGCATCTGAGCAGCTGCGAGGCAAAGCGGACACTCTCCACATGCTCGCCAGGCGCCGGGGATTACACCGGGTGAAGGGGGCGGAGATGATGAGAGCTACTAGTCCGTGACTGCTACCAAGGACAGGAAATTGCTTCACAGGCCGGGCCAGGTCAGGGTAATGGCCTGTTCTAGGAACCAGCACATAGCCAGAGGCAGGCGGAGGCTGATTTATGGCAGAATGAACCTCGTTTACAATCACACTGTCTCTAAGGGGGGCTTGGTAAGCAATCTGTTCTGGCCCAGGTCCAGCCGGAGGGTCCCAGCAGCGGTCACGTCATGGAACCGTCTCTCCTCCACAGCTTCACAATTTATAATGCACGTTCAGACATGTTATTTGATGGAAAGGAAGTGATGTAAGATAAAGGCCGTCTAGAGCAGTCCCCAAGCATCTTGGTGCACTGGAAGCATACATCCCAGGCTGCACTCTTACAAAGACCACGTTCGAGAAGCTGACCACCCTTTGAGAGACACCAGTGGTGGGTCCCAGACTGGGTGTTTCGTAGCATCACCAGGGGGCACCTATTAAAAATACAGCCTCCTTCCCTGGCCAGTGTAGCTCAGTGGTTGAACCAGGAGGTCACCAGTTCAATTCCCAGTCAGGGCACATGTCTGTGTTGCAGGCATGCAGGAGGCAGCTGATCAATGATTCTCTCTCATCATTGATGTTTCTATCTCTCTCTCTCCCTTTCCCTTCCTCTCTCTGAAATCAATAAAAAATATTTTAAAAAATACAGCCTCTTTGCCCTGGCCAGTGTGTCTC